TTGGATGATTATGTCTAGTGGTGAGTTATAGAATGTTGGAGGAGATGGTACTGTTTGGAGAATTGGGAACAGGAAAAATATTTAAGATTAGACATTTTTCATTTATAAAACTAAAGTTTTTAGTGAAGATTGGTAGTAGATGTGTACTAGGGATTAAAAGCATAAAAATGGCAACTGAAGTCATGGGAATAATTATAAATATGATCATCTAGAGAAATTTTGTCAAGTGCAAAGAGGTTAAAGACCAGAACTCTGGAGAACATCAGAACAAAATACTTTTTTGTTTTGTTGTGCTTGAAGCTTGTTTATAATACACTCTCAGAGCAGCAATAAGGAAGCTTCAAGCAGCTAGTGCACAACAGAAGATGTGTGATATAAATTCTCTAGGAAGGAGAGGACTCCATTAAACATTATTATGGGGCCTCCCCTGGTGGCGCAGCAGTTGAGCGCTGGGCTGCGAGGCTGCCCGCAGCCTCTGCAGTGCCAGTTCGTTCCCCGGCCGCCGGCGAGGGTCCCACAAAAAAAAAAAAAAAAAAAAACATTATTATGAAAAAAGAAATTCCTAGTCATCTCCCAAGACTGGTTTGGAGAAGAAATATAAAAGCCTTCCTCTACCCTTTCTGCCCGTGGATCAGAGAAGTCTTTCCCTTTCCAGCCTAATGGCAGGATGATAAAATATTACTGAAGCATTTCAAGTCTGTTTGGAATCAGGTTGTGAAGAAAGGAGTCCCTCTATTGGAAGTATTGATTATATGATTAACTAAGGGCAAGATACTCTTGTTTAGTTTGGGGAATTAGGAGTGGTGAGAGAGGTGTGGGAGTTGCTCTAATGTGAAAACAAAAGCACTACTGATTAGCACAAAATAGTGGCACATCCTTTGTAAAGAATGAAAAGGCAGAGGGTACTCCTGCATATTGTATTTTTGTTGACTTTTCTAAGAGTTCCATTTAATAAGAAAAACATCAATGTTGCCATTTCTTTCTCAATTCCTTGATGAAAACAGAGACATAGGAATGACCATTCCTAAACCCCATTCCCTAAGTTCAGCAGTTTTCTCCATGGAGGTGGAGAGGTTTATTCAAGTCCACAGCCAGTTTTATCACCTGTAATAAGGATGCACTGAATTTGAAAGAATCATTGAAGGTACATAGAACATACAATCTAACATATATTTGCATACAAATAAAAGGTTTTCACTGTTTTGGGATCCTAAAATAGTTTTCTAGTAAAATGCATTTTCTCCTGCACTCATGGCATATTACTTATTCCCTGATTGAGCAGTGCACATGGCTGTAGGGATTTGTCGTTGGGATTTTGTTGAATGTCTGCAGCACATCCTCGTAGCTCTGTCTAGTGGGGAATTAGATAGACCCGAATTTAAAGCCCACGAAGAGTATGAGCGGTGTCAAAATCTTTTTAGGTGAGAAATCACTGATAGATGACAGTTAAAACATGACATTAGTCACAGTTGCCTGCAGAACATACTCATTTGAGAAAGCTCTGGTTTGAATATATAGCCCTACACAAAATGAGCATCTAAGGGGTGGATAGGCAAACAGCCCAGAATGAGATCAACTCACTCCAGTTAATTCTGTGTCTGAAAAGGCAATGTAGTAAAGACAAATGAAAGAGAGTGGTCAACAGTGTTCAGTGCAGCTGAGAGACCAAAGGAAATGTCTGAGGAATCTCCATTTGTTGACCTGCTTAGAGCAAATGTTGGAAGCACCCTCTTGTGATTTATTCTGCATGCCTGCCAGATGTTGGATTTTAGAGAATTATGAAAGGGGAATTCTTTCATTTGGGTAAGAGGTTAACTATAAAGGCTTCTTAAATTTTCTGGAAATTTAAGACTCTGTTATGGTAACTGGTATAGGGCCACCCAACTTTGAATCTTCACCAGTAGACCTTGAATTGCAGGGTTGTTTATTTACTCTCGGGTCTTTAATGACTTAAAAAAGGCAGCTCCTTCAGTTTGGATACTCTGAATTGATATACAAGGCATTTTAAGTGCCCATAGAAACATGTACGCTTCCTATGCACACTCAATCAAAACATCAGTGTGCAAATAACTTGTACTCATCTACTTAGCATTTCACTTTGCTTTTTGACTTTTAATTCAAACTAAACATTAATGTAAGAAGTTTTGATAATAACCCATGAACTTCATCCTTTTTAAAAGATGGTGTAGTTCTCTTCCTGTAGTGTAACCATAGCAACTGACAAGGAACAGAGAAAGAAAGCTTTCACACATGCTGTGCTAATTAATCCTGTCCTACAGTTTTCCTTCAGCTGGAAGATGCAGTTTAATAAATTTTGCATGAGTAAGCGTGTTTTGATGCATGAACTGTGTGAATACATAGCAATATCTTTACCAAAAATATTTATTAAATATGTAGTTATATTCCTACCTCAAGGTGTGTTTTCTTCTCTTATGTGTTTTTCTTTTTGATTCATTGTTTTAATAATTTGTTCCTTTCTTGAAAAGTTTTAGGCTTTATCTTTCTAATGGTAGGAGGTATTTTTAGGGTGAAAGCATTTTATTTATCAATACACAGGATAATCTCCACAGAAAATGTTTATTAAATTGATGGTCTATATTACAGTAACATGATGGAAGAGTTTTTCTCGAGCAGTGAAGTGTGTATCTTAAAAATATAATATTCTTCAATGAGTATCACAAATACAGTTAAACAATTTTTACAAATTGTGTTAACACATGAAAGACTCAGATACTGAAAACTCATTTTCACTCTTCTTTTGGGAAGTTTTGTGGCCCCTGTAAGTGGAGTTTTTAAGTAGTCCTTGACCTAGGCATATGGGGAGGAGGGAAAAAAGTAGACAAAGCCTTTTCTGTTCATATTTTCCAGAAATATTGAGCCACTTTTGCAAACTCATATTCCAAGTGAACATAATTAGTGTGAAATTACATATAATTATTTAGATTTATACAATTGCTAGGTTATTTTGAAGTCTTCTTTAAAAAGTAGGAATATCACAATGTTTTATAACAAGGCTGTCTTCTAAGCTGTCAGAGAAAATCTCAGATTTTTTTCATTCTCCTATCCCCTGGCCTCACTTTCTGTCAACAAGGCCTCAGGAAAACCAAGGAAATCCAGAATGAATTTTTTTTTTTTTTTTTGCATTGCATTTGACTTGACAACAGCATATGGAACAAGTCAGAACCTATTTTGGGACTTGTACTTAGCTCTTTAGTCTCTGTAGAAGCGTAGTTGTTTGAGAATTAAACCTTTTGATATATTTACTAAATTTGGAAACATTTTACCATCCTGATTGTTCTATCTGTTATTCAGTTTTGCCTGAATTGATGTAAGATAATACCTGGAAGAAAAAATAAATAGATATTATTATGGTAATTGAATATCAAAAATAGCTATTTTATTCTTGTTAAGAAAAGTTTAGGACCACATATGTGTATGTATGTTTATGTGTGTATAAACTATACATTTTAACATGCCATACTGATAAACATTAACCAATATAGTATGCCATTGTATTATCAAAGCTTTGTTGTTGAAAAAATTGAGTTATTTTAACTGTGTTTGAATTAATTAGAAATTCTTTGTCTGACCAGATGTCTAATTTTTAAATTTGCAGATAATGTAAGAAACTGGGTATCAAGTGTTTTAATACATAGGAAAAAATCATGTTTCTAAGTACTATAAAATTTAAATAATCAGAACATAAAGTGAAGAGGAGATGGTAACTTTACTGTGAAAATGTTGTGTGTATTGATCATTGCATTAATAAACATTGCTTTACACTTGTCAGAATATACCCAGATAGAAATCTATCACACAAGGACTTTTTTTGCTTTAAGAAAATCTATGGGTTTTGTGATTTTTAAAAGAATTATGTATTTGTAGCAGAAAATTTGGGAAACACTTAGAAAAACTTATTAAAATAAAAAACTGGATAATCACATATTTCAAAGCTAGCCACTAAAAACATTCAAATATATTTTCTGCTAATCTCTTTTCTATGTATTTATTTATTTATTTAAGATTTATTTACTTTTATACAAGAACTGGGGTACAGGCCAGATGTGCAGGAGGGTGAGAGGATTCACTGGAGACAGAGCGGGGAACAGAACAGGCAGATTAAAGAAATACACTGCTGAGGGGAGCAGCTGGTGAGACAGGAGAGGTCTGCTTCGCCATGTGGGATTCTCGCTGGCCGGCCAGGATCAAACCCGCACTGCAGAGGCTGTGGACAGCTTCATAGTGCGGCGCTCAACCGCCTGCGCCACCAGGGAGGCCCCATGTAATTATTTATGATGGAAGTCAAACTGGATATAATTTTAACATTATTTGGAACATTCCCCTAGTTTTTAAAAAATTCTTAGAAAACATGATTAATATTTCATGAGATTTATTTCACTATTTCTTTTTAGTTATATAGGTGGCTTTCAGATGAACTTCTTGAATATATATTGACTAGTTGGCGTTTGACAGAACTCTGAAACCATGAGTTTGGGAATAATCCTCTGAGAAAAGTACCATATTCTCTTCTTTCAAATTCACAATACACATTAGAAAAATGAAGGGCACTGAGGAGTGTAGCAGTATGGAGACCTGTTTAAATTTTTAAAACATCATTTTTCTCCCAGCTATCTGACCTTGAAACTCTTTCTCATGACACTTATTTCTAATTTTCAGAAGTAGATTTCCAGGAAAAATTCTTTGGACTGTGAGGAGCTTTCTAAGCTTCTGTGTAATATCTAAAAGTTAATGAATTACTTATTAACTCCCCTGATATTTTATTAAATTTACAATGCTTTATTAGGAAATGTAAATGATTTATTGGTTACGTATATGAAACAGCAGACTACAATATGCATTCCCTATCCTTTCTAGTAACCTTGACATTGGATTCATAATTCTGTATTACAGTATCACGTTTGACCTTTTACAGTTGTGAACATTCAAATTTAAATTCTCTTGTTCTATTAATGCACATTTTTATTTTGTTTATCCCACAGGTCTTGCAAGAGCAAAATCCGTCCCTAGCCACACATACTCCAATGAAGTGGTTACCTTGTGGTACAGGCCTCCAGATGTTCTCTTGGGCTCAACAGAATATTCCACCTGCCTTGACATGTGGTGAGAAATACAAGCTTTACGCTATCTAATCTATCTGTAGTACTCCGTCTGGGTCAAGCCTATGCAAACATGCTAACAGTTTGAATGAAGATTAATGGTGCAGGATATTTGCCTGTGTGTGACAACCCTGCTGCATTTTTTGAAAACAAGATTGGAAATGTGTCCTAATCAGAGACTCCCTTGGAAGTGGTGTCTGGCAATGGCTCTTGATGGACCAGAGCAGAGACATTTTTCTAACTGTCAACATAGTGATTTTTCAAAGGGACTTAATTTCTGGCCTTATAACAAGGAAGTTGGTACTTCTATAACATTAAGGATTGGAAGTAGGTGGAAAAATATTTAAATTCAAAGCTAATCTCAGAGTGGTCTGAACATTTTGCTGTGATTGCTAAGCACTAAATTCAGTTGCAATTTACCTTTTTTTGGTTACATTTCCTAGCCTTTTTTTTTTTTGACAGTTGTTTGCATTGTTTTTCCCCAAGGCTAGGAGGGAATTTGGTAAGAATAGATATTTTGATCATTAGTTGTATTGGAGGAAAATTTTGGAAATAAAGATCAATGAATGCATCAGGTTATCACTTACTACCTTTCTCTTTCCCCTCCTGCTCTTTGCCTTATAGTGGAGAGTTGGCTATGCAAATCATTACCCATTTATTCTTGAATTATGCATAATTTCTCTCTGTTTTTTGAGTATGGAAATTTTAGGTTGTTTCAGGAAGGTCAGTTAAGGATTCTGCTAATAAAACATAGTTTCAAAATATTTGTTACTTGGAACCAGTTTTGTCTGAGTGCTTGGCTGCACGGTTAAGACTCTACCCTCAAAATTCAGAGACACTGTATTTTATATACTAGTGGCTTTTTCCTCACAAACCTGTAAAAGTGGTCGTTAAAGGATAAAGAGCTACATGAATTGTGACTTGGATCTGTTTCTGGCATGTAGTTTTTGATCTCCAGTCTTTGCCTCTCCCAACTCACCTCCTATCGTTTCCTCTGTGTGTATTGTGTGTGTGGTGTGCTCATTCTCTTGAGGAAAAACTGCTTTCTGCTAATTTGCTTTACCCAGAGACATAATGGCAACATGAGAAGAGGACTGTTATTTAAGTGGAAGAGAAGAAAACTGTTACAAAATAGTAGACCCCAAAGCCCTGTTGTCTGTCTGCCAAAAATACTCATTGCCAAAAATAGATAGTCAGTGTGTTATGTTGAACAGTTTTCCCATGTTTATTGGCTCTCCATTTCCAGGCCCTAAAATCTGACTTATGTCTATGCTATGCCTGTCATTCTGAATCTGATTTTATTACAAGTCATTTTCTAATTTTGTTATTATACTATAAGTCTGATAAAATATATGTATTTTTCCAGTTAGTGAGAAGTTCACAGGACACTGATTTTTGCATAATCAATGGCAGTGATACTGGGTACTTTAGAAGCTTCAAAGACCTAGAAATGGGACTGTAATTGAGTGATGGCTCAGCTGCACTGAAGAAAAGTGCAAATATTAACCCGTGGACAATAGCAGAGGCAGGTGGCAGTGGTTTCGGGCTATTTTTACAGTTCGTTTACCATCCTGGGGCAGTAGGGTAGTAACTAAAAACTAACGATCCCTACACACTGTTACACTTTCCAGTTTTCTGTTTAAATAGCCACAGGCAATAAAAATATTAATGAAGACATATCTGCATTAATGTTAGAGAAAGTGATGGGAATCAGAGTTTGCCATGCTGTTATGGTTTACTGCTCTAAGTCTTCCAACACCGGGCAATGTGTGAATATACTGTGTGATATGATAACTTCTCAAGAAAGATAGTTTTTGATACCTTTGTCTCCCTTCGTGAAGGAGAATTTAAGCAGAGGAATCATATTGGACAAAGTCTGGTATATAACTTTCCTTAACTCTTGGATTTTATAACCCTTTGAAAGTCAAGGCATAGGGAATATCTTTAAGCTTCTAAACCAAATAGGCTTATTACCAAATGTGAAAACCACATTAAGAGATGCGCAAATGTGAAAAGCAGCTTATCTGTTTAGTTCCTTCCAAATCAGGGAGCTCTGCTGTAGGTCATTGCTCTAAATAAACTTTATATTCCTTTGTAGAATCTTATAAACATGTTTACAGCTGTGTTTGTTTTCTAAAGCAGAAGGTTACTTGGGATCATCTTAAGGGATTAATTTTTAACATAGTTTGACCAAGTTATATCTAATAAATAATTACCTCATCAAGATCACAGTGCTTTTAGGGGGCCATAATATATAGTGGCATTACATTGTGGCCTCAATTTCAGTGCTTCCCAAGATGGTGTGTGAAGAATGATAGCATGCCAGTCTCTTCCTTTCATCATGTTTTAAAAAGCTAATTAACATATTAACTATGCTTGTCAAAATGTGGGGCAAATCATTTATAAATAAGCCTGTCAAATGTAATGAGGTTGCATATTAAATCACACTTTTCTCTATTACATCTTTGATTTAAGATTAAAATTAATTTATTTAACATTGTAGCAGCTGGGTGACTAGAAAAAAATTTCCATACCCGTGTTGATATATAGAAAAATGTCTGCATCAAAATTAACTTTGCATATGTCAGAAAAGAAATTGCTTATTTACTGAGTGTTATAAGGCCGTGCAGCATTGATTTTTATTAAATAAGCTTAATCACCATACATGTTCGCAACATACAGAATTTTGCCAGCATCCTTCGTAATGCCATCATCCTTAAGGATCTCTCATAAACCAAGGAAATTTATGCAATAAAACCTTCCTAGGATTCCCATTTGTTTATCAGTGTTTTAAGAGAGAGAATCATAAATGAATCCTCTTCTATCCCCCACTCTGAAAATGAATTTGTTCTATATGAGGTCTTGCGCTAAGTATTTGAATAATACTAAATTGGACATTAAGGAATAATAATAACAGTAGTAAAAGTAATAGATACTTTCATTAAATCCAAACTATATTCTAAGTCCTAATGCTTTATTACTGACCTTATGTAGCAGAATACCGCAGAAGAAAACAAAACCCAGAGAGATTAAATAGCACTTTCCCAGACTTATTAGCTTCAAACTACCCCACATTCAAGTTAACACAGTCAAATGCCCTTTCTCTTTACAGTATATTATATAATATCTGACAATCATATATAAGAAATTGCTCTTTGTTTCATTAGAAAAGTGGTCATAAAATACAAATACAATAAAATTCCTATTTTATAATTTATGTTCTTTTTTAAAAAAGATTTATTTATTTATGCATATAAGATCTGGGGTACAGGTCAGAAGTGTAGGGGGTAAGAGGATTCACCACAGACGGAGTGGGGAACAGAACAGGCAGGCTGACTGAGTACACTGCTGAGAGGAGCAGTGGGTGAGTCAAGAGAGGTTTGCTGCGCCATGTGGGTAGCTTCCTTGCCGGGGATCGAACTCGTGCTTCAGTGGCTGCGGATAGCTTCACAGGTTGTGTCTTAACCCCTTGCGCCACCAGGGAGGCCCTATAACTTATATTCTGAGTCATGTTGGACTCTTTGCATGCCTCAAATAAAATGGGTGACTTTCACCAACACCCTTGTGCACTGCCTTTCTTCCCCTCACAACTTGGTCTCCATTATATGTGTGTGTGTGTGTATATATATATATACATAATACACATATACACACACATCATGTACATATGTATCTGTAGGTATATACAAACATGTATATTGTCCAAGGAGTATCTCTGAAATATACTTAGTATATGAATTATTGGATTGAATGCATTTTATGGGACCAATATCTATGCTGGCATGTATTTTCCCAGTAATAAATCATTACTCATTTTCTACTTCTAAAGTAAAAGAATCTGTAACATCTTATCAAAGAAAGTTCTAGTTTTCTAAACTCTTTTAAAGATTATAATAGGTTTCAAAATATTTGTATTTAATTTATATTTTTCAAAGTTTATTTCAAATTAAGATATAAATAAAATAAGTTTAACCTGCTTTAAAAAAAAGAATGCAGGTAAGAATGAGAATTTGAGTTTATGAGCTACGTGAAGTCATCTGTCAACCCTATTTGCACATTTTCTAACTAATCGGTTCAAGGAAGACACTAATTAGTTACAGTCAAAAGTAAAAACTCTTTAAGAGCTCTTGAGAGCTGCTCAAATAAGACATAATACATTGCACCTATGATGAAAAAGAACCAGGAAACAGCCAGAAGTACATCCAGGTAGTTGAAAGCTGGACTCATGGTGGAAGCTATTGTTTCTAAGCCCATTCATGAATGAAGCTCCTTAAATTAGGATGAACATGTATTTATCATCCATGCAAGGACCCCTGTAATAGTTGATATTAATTTTGCCAGAGAATAGGTGTAAAACAGGATCTAATCATGGCACATGGTCATTTTTTTTCTCATAAAGCATTGGAGTAATATTTTGCTAGATAATAATGCCTTTGAGTACTTAATTCACCCCCAAGGACTACTGGCTACAAACTCAAATTCCTCATGAAAAAATTCAATTATTTTGCTTAATTTTTAATTAATTATCCCTGAAAGTACTATTCTCTAATATTAGATTTTTAAGGCATTACAAAGTGGCTTACAACATGCTGAATTTAGTGATGCCTCTAAGGTGCTGAAGACTGCCAGTTGTACTTCTCCATCAAAAACTTGGCATTGTTATTGTTTTTATATCCCTGTTGTTTGTCATTATGCTGTGAGAAGACTGTATGTGTGTTTTCAGTGGATATGTTTGATGATTTATTTGTGATAAATTAGCTGAATAATAATATATAAAATGGAATATTATATGCTGTCTTTGCTACTAAATATTTTTTTTTAATTTTTATCAATTTTATTTTTATATTCCCCATAGAATTGCAACCCCCTTATTTTGACCCCAATCCCTCCCCTCCCCGCCCCTCACCCCTCATAGAGTGTCTCTGGTTCATAGTTTTTGTTGATTTTGATTTTCACTTTCTTATAGTTATTCATTTTCCTGGTCCCTTATTTAAGTTTTCTAGA